TATAATAATAGTGTCTTAGCAAACGCAAAATTCTTTTTTCATTTCGACGCAGGAACAGGTACTTTTAGAATTGATAACTGTGTATTTTCAGAAAATAACGCGAAAAACTTTAGAAATACTGATCATGTTTTTACAGTTACTTCTTGTTCTTTCAATAATAATAAATTTAGTTCTATATCACCAATTCTAACATACAAAGGCTCACATGCGTTCATTGTTGATACAAAGTGTCACATCGGACAGAAGCATGACTGTTTTGCCGACTTCAACTGTGTTTCTCCATATTTTATTCCCGACTACAATCTACTCTCTTTCTCTTTTTTCATTTTAAATTTATGAATAAAAATTTGCTTTTTGTGACTTTGTTTCTAACATAACATGTTCTCTTTAGCATGCATAATTGCGAAAATATCTGCAATAGCATGTAGTTAGCTTGAAACTGATTTTTTCCAAAAAAATTGATCGAAGTTCGACTTTTTGAAGGTATTTTTGATGTAAAGTTTAGATCTCTTTATTTCAAAGATACAATGTGTAATTTTTGATTTTTTGAATGAATTGAAAATTTTGTCAAAAATTTAGGAAACATTGAGTAAGTGATTTGTCTGATTTTTCATCAAAAGAATTCTTCAAAGACAAGTACTTTTGGACATTACTACCTCCAAATGAACGATCAAGCAAATCAGTTCCTCTCAACTTCCATCTTAGTGGAGTTTTTTTCGAAAAGATCAACAACGAGGGTGTTATTCGAATCAGTGAATCAAATTCAATCTTAATTCTCGAACAAGACACATTTAACACAATCACATCTACCCAAAATGGTGGCTGTGTTCTTTTCAACCCAGGTCACTCGATTTATCAAACCAACATTTGCGCGCGAAACGTTTATTCACGTACAAAAGCAAACTACTGTCTTGTCAATCTCTCACAATCATCAAAAAGTATAAATTTTGTTTCAATAATTTCTATTACAGAATGTACTACTCAGCCAGGCACCTCAGATGTCACATGGCTTGGTGGAGGAAAAACATCATTATCGTATTACAATTCTACAAGTAATGTTTTCATGAGTACTACTGGATTTTATTTTGGATTCTCTTATGGTAACGCCAACGCATCTTTCGCTAATGTATTGTCGTGTAACTCTACTTTTAATTCTGTTGTTTTTTCTCATTCAGTTTGCGAAATTAAATACTCAAATTTTTATAAAGATATCATTATGAATAATTCGTATTCTTTTTTCAGCTTTGATAAATCTAATACATTAGTTGACCATTGTGTATTTTCAGAAAACAAAGCAGAACATTTTTTGAACCAATAAGTTATATTCAGATCTTGTTCGTTTAACAGAAACTCGTTTAGTTCAATATCTCCTTATCTGCCTTATACAGGATCATATAAATTCATTATTGATACAAATTGCCACAATGGACAAAAGTATGATTGCTTAACTGGAATCTCATGTGTTTCCAGATGTTTTGCTTTCCAATATTATCTAATGTTTTTCTCTTTGTTAATTCTTTCTTAATTATTCTCAATAAAAACCATTTAGTTCCTATTTTTTAATGAAATGGGGTATTATAATGTAGATATTCTTATATATTGATATATCTCATACCTGAAAATAGAAAATATACTTTCAAAGCTGAATATGCATATAATATAGGCATCATTAGTGAGATATAAGATTAAATTTTGAAATGAAATGCATCTTTCCATTGAGACAAACATGATGATCATTACGTTTATCTTCAATTCATGCATTATAAAATTTTTAAAAAAGTGAAAATTTTAAAAATGGAATGATTAAATAACAATTTATTCATGAAAATATCATAAAACATAAAAATTGGAATTATGAACATGATTTATAATTGGAGCTGGTGCTAAAACACACCATTTAATCTCATAAATGTTCATTGTTATTGCTCCGAAATATAAAAAAACTGACAAGACGATTTAGAAATAATTGATTCTTCATATATCAATAAAACATAAGTAGGGCTGTACAAGATTTAAAAAAACATTGCCGGGTTACCGTAGAGGCCTAAAAAAATCGCGCCTCGGCGGCAAGCCGCCTCGGCATTAAGAATGCGCATCTAAATTTTTATATGTCCTTCTTTCTTTTATTTTTCCCTTCCCTTCCTTTTCTTTTTCTTTTTTTCCTCCTCTTGCTCTCATTTACCTTTTTTTCCTTTTCTCATCATTTTTCAAAATTTAAAATTTTTATCAAAAATCTTGCCTATAAAAGCAGATTATGGAACCTTTTAATGCCTCTTAATCAATATTATACAGCATAAAGCATATTAAATGAAAGTAATTACGTATAAATTTATTTTATTATCTTATTTATTAATTCTTTAGCATGTATTGTTTAATATTAACTTTTCTGTACATTAAATATGATATCTCCAAAGTATGAATGCCTTGTAACGAAACGAAAACTTAATTTTATGTTGAATATTTGTCACAAACATTAGATTATTAAAATATATGTTGGATATCCCTTAGTATGAGACTTCATGACTCTTGTTGTCTAACGTGAGCTTTGGATTGCAAGCTTGCTACAGCACATAAGTATTCTGTGGTTAAAAAAACCACATGAGCTTTAAAAACTATAAAACCAAAAATAATTGTTATAATTTAAATGAAGAAGTAATTTAAAACGATTTTATTTATGATCAAATTTTATATATTTTTTTGGATCAAATCCATTTTAATAGAATTTATATACTATTCATCTATTAGTAAACACTACCGTATATTATTTTTTAAGCTATCTTATTTTTTGAAATTTTATTCAACTCTTTGGTCGCAAGAAGAATTGCATGATAAATAAAAACATTTAATCAAAGTCAATTTTATTTTTCATATTCAAATGGACTGAGTGTTAACGGGCGCGTAAAGGATTGGCGTCCTAAGGCGTCCTGATGTAAACTATTCATTTTTTGAGAAGTTTACACCATAATTGAATAGTTTATGGCGTCCTGAGAGGAGATTTCAATGGTTATGGCGTCCTAAAAAAAAGAAGAAAATGATTTTTTCTCGATTTTTCTAGAAATTGAATTTTTTAAAAAAGAAAAAAATCAAAACGTATACATTCAAGAAAGACTATAAATGAAGATTTTTCTATTTTTTTTCATTCTAAAACATCTTTTTTTGGATAATTTTTTTTAATAAATATGTAAGAAAGATTGAAAAAAAGTAAATTTACTTTAAGAAAATTCGTTTTACATGATGTAAGACCCATAACAACTATAAATATTCAATTATTTAAAATAAAAAAAGAAAAACAGATTAAATGTATCTCACATCAAAATCCATTGACCTAAGGATGTTAAGTTTCTGTTTTTAAAAGTTGATATTTTTTTTTTAATTTTAAGAAAATTAATAGCATGTTATTAGACAATAGGAGTGTAATGATATTGACTAAACAGAAATGAGAGAATAGAGATATAATTTTGATAAGCAATATTGCGAACAAATTCTGAAGTAAAATCGCGATCAATAATTGAAAATTACGATCATGTACTGAAAAATGACGATCGAATTGAATGAATAGAATTATATCTAAGAAAAAATAAATTGTATTTAGAAGATGAACAAAGAAAGGTGTATGCTAAAAATCATTTAACAATAAATGGAAATAAAACGAAATTGTTAAAAGAAAAAAATGAAAATTGTTAAGGGTGCACACGAGAGGATCATGTAAACTTCAGAATTTAGAACCTTATTTTTAGGCATTATCTTGGCTACCTATTTAGGCTCGAAAAGCAAAAAATATCAAAAAATACAACTTGACTCCATTATGACCCTTTCATTGAGGTAGTTTTTATCCGCTAGTATTTTCCCTTTGAATCTCTTTACAATTCGAAATCAAATTCAAAACTCAGTAGAAGAAAGGAAGAATCGACTTACTACGGTTGTAATACGAATAAATACATATATTTAATTATTTTTATTTACATAATAATTGTTTGAAGCTCATATTCCAACAAATTTTTAAATAAAAACATTAAAATGTTGAAAATGTTCATATATTTTAATAGGGTTTTGGCACTTTATTGAGGAATTACTACATACATAGTCGAACTGAACTTGATATTTTGAAATTTAAATTATTTATCAAAATTAAAATTTAACTTGAAATTTATAATTATTTAGTCATATTTTGCATAATTCTAAGTAGATTTTGTAAAAAATCAGAAAGAAAAATTTTAACGTGCTTTATTTTTTCTTTTTTATAATAATACATATTATTATATAATTAACATATTCATAATGTTTCACACTTTCAAAAATATAATCCTCCTCCTCTCAAATAAACGTACATACGGGTGGCCTCTTTTTTCAAAAAATTAAAATTTGAAATTTTGGGCTCAAATATTAGAGATTTTTTCAACCTTCAACGATATATGTTGTCTATATCAGACCTCCTTTCTTTTTGATACTTAACATTGTTCCTAAATCTTAGCCGTTAAGGCTGTTCTGAAAATATTTTTTTTCGAAAAAATTCGAAAAAAATTCTTAAAATTCAAAAATCCCTTAATTCCTGAGGATTTTTGAAAAAAGTTTTTACATGAACATGTGTATATTATATGAAGTATATTGATAAGGTAAAAATCAAATTTTATTGCATATTCATCGAGAAAATAAACTAACGAATCCCTCAAAATTGAGAGGGTAATCCTCCTCCTCTCAAATAAACATACATACAGGTGCACCCTTAAATAATATATTATTTTTTAGTCATAAGAATAAAAATATAGTAGTTATAAAAGGAATTAGACTTCATATATCAATTCTTTTTCTCTGTAAATGTGGAACGTTTGCTTTTCGATCTCTTTCGATGAACTTGAAAATATAAGTTATTATCGCTGAGAATCCTTTCCGAAATAGGAGCTTTACGTTTAGGAGGATTGTCGGATGAATTTTGTTTTTTATTGTTTGATTTTGTTGTTATGGAAGATTTTTTCTTATTTTTTTCAGAATTTTGCTTGCTATTAACTGAAACTTGTTTTGACGGCCCAACAATAGCATTTGTAGTAGGAAGAATTCCCAAGAACGAGCGCATTTTCGATAATTGTTTTTTCAATATGATCAAGAAGGTCCAGCTTATGTTCTAGATTACTAGACATTTGATTTGTAGAAGGATGGTTTTGATTTTCTGGTTCTAAATCTGTAGAGTCTGCAATATTTGAATTTTCGGAGCGAATTGGAGCATCTGAACCTTGATTTGTATCGGCTTGCTCAAAATTAGTTTGAATTGGAGTGGATGAATTAAAATCTGGATGATTTAATGTTTCATTAAATAATGCCATAATTTTTTCTCTTTTTTCATTAATAAACTTAGTGATCATTGTATCTTTATCTGTTAGATCGATCGATTTGAGTATATCTGCATCATGAACTGGAATATTTTCGAACAATGAACTCGATTCTATGGAACCATATGGAGAAATCTCGTTCTGAGCCAAAGAAAGATCACTTACGTTGTATTGTTTGATAGAAAAAATTGTTTTCTCAAGTTCTTTTTGAAAGCAGTCAAGAATATAATTTTTGTAGCTATCAGTGATAACGGTTTTTATATGGCGCTCGATCTTCTGGTTATTTTTGATGGCGTTATATTTATCTAATTGGATTTGAGATATCTTCTTAATAGCTTCATAAATGTTTGGATGTTTTAACGAAGAAAATTCTGAATGCATATTCTCGAGGCAATCATTAGTGAATATTGCAGTTGCATTATTATATTGAGATATTAAATTGTAGTGCGGCAACCAAACTTTGTTGAAATAATCAATATAATCTTTGATCGAATCAACTTTATTTTGATTAATTATATGCATTGTAAGTACAAATTCTTCATGAGACATGAATGGAGTAATAGAATATAGCTTAAATAAAGAATTTTGTAAAGTATTGAAATTTTTTGTATAAAGTGCTACAAGTTTCCTGTGTAAAGCTTGTTTGAAATGAAATAGGCATCCAATTATACGGACTTTAGGGAAAATTTGTTGAAGTGCCTCTATCATTCCCTTTTCAAAATCACAATGAATTTGAATTAGCTTTGAAAATTGAATACCCTTGACAGTAAAAATATATTCAAATGCCTTCTTATAAGATTCAAATGTGCGGTTTTTCATGAATATAAATAAAAGTGGTAGATATTGATTTGTTGAAGGTTCACAAATCATAATTGTTAGCATCTGTCCTTTTTGAAAATGTTTTGGTGTAATTTTAAAAGTTCCATCGCAAAATAAATCTGTGGCTTCTTTTGCAAATTGAATTGCCTTCTCAAAACCAAAAAACATCGTCTCACAATTTGCTTGAAAAATGGCCAATGAAAAACTGCTCGCCATTTATTAAACAAAAATTAGCAATTTCATCGTCTGTAATTTTTTCTCCAATAGAAAATTTTCTGGACTTATTATAAACTTCCCTGACCAATGAATCTTTAATTAATGGGTTTTCATCAGTACCAACAGCAAGTTCTGTCATAAATTTTTAATCTGCTGAAAAGTGCCGTTGTCTTCAGAAAATTTTGCCATTGCCTTATTGTATATTTCTGTCAGAGTCATTGATTTATGAAGATCATTTTTTTCATTTTGTAACTTTTTAAATTGTCTGCATTCGGGTATATGTTCCTTTTGTAAATCTTCGGAAACTGAACTGTTCTCAATTTTAACTAAATAACGTGCTTGACAAGAATGATCGATGCAACGGTAGTAACGTTCAATATTATTTGAATTAATAATATTTGTATGATCATGCGAATAAAGCATATCTTTGCGAACAATTGTATCAGGATATTTTCCAGTAACTGCGGGAATATTTTTAACTGCAATATAACTAAAATATCTTCTGACAGCTTTAGATTCATTTTCGTGGTATTTAATATTAAAATATTGAAGAACTTGTTTGATTATATTCGTTTTTTCATCTCTCGATGTTGATTTTTGGTATTTATCAGATTGTTCCCTGATAAATATTTTATTTTCGTCTGTAAAGTTTGCTCTTTTTTGATTAAATATAGATGATTTTCCCATTAAAAAATGAAATGATGCAAAATTTACGAAAACCGTTCGAAAATTGAATCAAAAATGAAAAGTAATACTTAAATGAGTAATTCTTTGAGATATTGGTCTTAGATTGAATGTAGCGTCATTCTTATATAGAATATATATTCATATCATCGGAAATATGATAAAAAGCATATAATAAATGTCAAAAAAGTGAACAAATAAGCAAAGATATTTTTTAAAAAAACAATGAAAAGTAATACTTAAATGAGTAATTCTTTGAGATATTGGTCTTAGATTGAATGTAGCGTCATTCTTATATAGAATATATATTCATATCATCGGAAATATGATAAAAAGCATATAATAAATGTCAAAAAAGTGAACAAATAAGCAAAGATATTTTTTAAAAAACAATGAAAAGTAATACTTAAATGAGTAATTCTTTGAGATATTGGTCTTAGATTGAATGTAGCGTCACAAATTTCACAAATATAATTTACTATACAATTTTATTCATTTTTTTAAAATGGCTGACGACAGTCTGTATCAACTAACTCAACTAGTCAAGCATAATGATTATTCTTCGGATTCATTAAATCAACTTTATCAATGCATAAGTACAATGACAGAAAGATCAATTGGATGCTTGAATTGGGATAAATTTTTCAAAAAAATCACAGTGACTGATGAAGTTCTTTTACATTTTTTAGCATCCGTTTTAAACATTGAAAAAATATCAGAATGTTTCAAGGATTCTATTTTTTATCACAATATTAATCTTGAAAAATTCAGTAATTTAACTGAAACAGAACAACAAACAATTTTAAATTCCTACAAAGCGGATAAGTTTACATATTACATAATGTGCTCACAAATTGTAAAATCAAACTGGAACAATTTATCCCAAACTTTAGTTAATATTGCAAATCAATATTTGCCATTTTTAGATGAAGAAAAGCAAATATATATATTTACTGAAATAACTGGCAATTATCAAAATTTTGAAATTTCAGTTGCAAACTTGTTACTTTTTTATGAAAACAATGAAGAAAAATTAAGCAACTGTTTTAATTTAACATTGTTCCAGCAAATTTATTCCAAAAATGGAATCGAGCAAATGATATTTTTTGCTGCAAATACAATTTGTTGCAATAACACTTCTATCAATTTTTACAATCTCCTTGAAATTGAAGAAATGAATCCATTTGATTTTTTTTATTTCTCAATTCAATATAAAGAGATATTAAATTGCGATGATTTTCCAAAAGTTACAGAAGTAATCACAGGTTTAATCTCAGCTTCAAATATTAATGCTATTATGCGAATTTGCCAAAAAATTTTGGATAAAATTACATTTTATAAATGTAATTATTGCCATATTACCTCAATATGGAATTTTATCACAAATGCAACAATAATTCTTCCTGATGAAGATTTATTAATCAAATTATTAAAATTCATAGAAAAAACAGAAAAAGCAACAGATGAATTATTCGAACCGGAGAATGATTTGGGTTTCTATGAATATTTAAATTCGATTTTCTCAGATATTACATCTGCGAGAAATATGCAATTTCTCTTGGAATTTCTAAATACCCATGAAGATGACTTCACTTATGATCAAACATTGTGAGGTCATTTTTGATCAACAAATTAATTGAAATTCCGATCAAAAAAAAAATTCACAAATTGGATCAAAAAAATCGAATCTCAAGTTAAAAATAAAAAATTTCTACATTTTTATCAAATTTAGATTTTTTTTTCAAATCATGCGAATTGATTGAATAATTGCATATTTTATCCCATGCATCTAGAAGTATGTGTAATATTTTTGCTTTCATCAAGAAATTGTCGAATTTGATCTTAATTTTTTTTGAAAAATATACTTTTAGAAAAAGAAATAGTGATTGAATAGCTGCCCATGCTGTAAAAGGGTTATTTTTACAAGTAAAAAAAATTGTTATTTTTCGAGCAAGTCGAGGCTTTTTTACCATCTTATTTTTGAAAAATTTACGAAAAATTATATCTGAAAAAACGCTTCATTTTGATATCTTACAATGATAAAATACCAATGTTGCTGGGATATAATAGCTACACCTGGACATCTACTACATTAATGCGTATGACAGGTAAAGTTGATTTCAAAAGTATAGCCTGGAAAGATTACAATAAATCAACGATAATTCAAAAAAATTTCTTATAAGTTAACATAATAAAAATTTAATTTTTATATTGCTTGTATTATACTTAAGTATATAATATATTTAAATCTTAGAATGAAAATTCGGGACGCCCTAGCTATTCAATTTTCCCTTAGGACGCCCATAAACCTCTCAAAAATGTGATGTAAATATCACAATTTTGAGAAATTTACACTAGGACGCCTTAGGACGCCAACCCCCTTTTTTACCAGTGTTAACATTTAACATTTTTTGCTAATTGTCGTCAAAAATTAGGCGTAAAGCAAAAATTAATATTTCATATGGTTTTATGATAGATAAGCATTATATTCCCACTCATTATATTCGTAAATTTTGAGGTTTATCCTTCGCTTTTAAGATCATTGAATTTGATTTTTATAGAAAATAGTTATATATTAGAAAATAATATGAGTTTATATGATATTATTTTTCAGAAGATTTCATTCTATATGCCTATGAAAAGTACTCTCAAAACTAATTTTTTCCTAATTATAATTAAATCTAGAATATTGTATTATGCTTAGTATTATTTCATTTTTCTCATTCAATTTAGAATTTACAAATGTCAAAAAATTGAGAGCTGTCACTTTTGATGAATTTCTGTTTATTACAGCATTGTTATTAATAATGAAAAATAAAGCTTATTTCAATGAAAATTGTTCTGCAAATTTATTTCACTTTTGACCTCGCTTTTTCCGTAATTCAATTTTTTTACTTTTAATATTTTAGATCTTCATAATATCATTTGAAAAATTAACCATATAAAAAAATCAAGTTATCAATTCACTTTTTCCGTAATTCAAAAATCAAAAATATAAATAATATATCTTTTTATCAAATATTATTATTATATTCTATGAAAAATGAGGTCCGGAAATTTTGCGGATTCCCGTAACTCAATTTTACGGAAAAAGTGCAGTAAACTATTCAAAATACGGAAAAATTGGTGTAAACTAATGATTTTACGGTAAAATCACGGAAAGTCCCGGAAGAATATATGTGCCTATATGAAATTATACAAAAATGAATCAAACGCATTTTAAAAGATTGTTCTTGTATTATAAATGCTATTCGCAGATTTATTAGTTGAAGAAAATTACCAAATTTTTGCCGATTTACAAAAAATGATTTACAAAGCATATTTTTATAAGGCTTTAAAAATCTTTAAAATGTGACCGGTGACGGAAATCCATGGTAACCAACCGCGGTTCCCGTTTGGAATGCCATAAACATAAGTTTTTATGAGCTTCCAAATTCAAAATTTGGTAAAATTTTGTCAAAAGTTTAGAAAACATTGAGTGGGTGAGTGCGGTACATTTTAGGAAAAATGACATTTTAACTTTACAAAGTTTACATTTGTAAAATGGCATTTTTGCCACTTGTTTGCCAATACCAAAAAAAGTTTGGCGCCAAATCGCAAAAGTGTCATAATCTCATGGTGGACCACAGCTGGTGTCGCCGCCGACTATCTACTTGCTGGGATGCTACGCAGCCTTTGATCTGGCCAATCATAGTGCTGTTCCATCCACATCAGCAAGTGATTTCGGCTGGAGATCTCCAATGGGTCTTCCATGAGGTTTCTGCAAGCCAGAAGCACAATATCTATGCAGCCTAGCTGCTAAGATAGCGTAGCTAGGATGCGTAATTGTTGTGCTTCTGGCGATATTAGTTATACGTTATTGCTCTCATGGACTACAGTACTACTCCCTGAACCCTTGAGGGTCATGGATGTAAGTTTACTCGAAATGGGCAATGTTCATTACGAAATCTCTCATCGAATGAGAGACTTCGTAATGAGCATTGCCTTAAAGTACTCTTACTACTCTTTCCTAGTTCCCAAAAGGCCTAGGATTCTGTAATTAATCGAATAGGACAGAGTTTTTCCGAAGTCTCTCATTTGATGAGAGGCTTCGGAAGAACTCTGTCCTAATGTAGTGTACTTATAGTCTCTGACAATTTATGTATCAGAGAATGTACTTTTACTCGAACAAAGCAGAGTTTTTCCGAAGTCTCTCATTTGATGAGAGGCCTCGGAAGAACTCTGCCCTAGTGTAATGTAGTTGTGGTACTTGTCCCATCAAAAAATTGAAAGAAAATTAATGACCACGAAAAAAATTGACGAAAAAACAAATATTGCATTGGGAAGGAAGAGATTTCGTTGTTTCAATCCGAAAGTCCTTTAATGAATTTGTCAAATCTTATTCAAAATTTCAAAAATTTTTCATACAAAAAATTGGATTTCTGAATATAAAGAAAAACATTCATTTTTTTGTTTAGCTTCCATTACATAATGAAGTTTGAATGGCTTAACACAACTCAAATTGCATTTGGAGAGGACAGTGTCAATGAACATATGAAAGACTTCGTAAAGCCACACACAAAAGTATTAGTTACATTTGGTGGTGGATCAATCGATAAGAATGGTGCACGCGACGATGTTACAAAAGCACTTAGTGAACTTGAGTGCGAAGTCAGATGGGAAGGCGGTATCCCAGCAAATCCAGAGTTTGACAGACTTGTCGAGATCGTCAAAGTTGCTCGCGAGTACAAGCCAGACTTACTCCTCGCAGTCGGTGGCGGAAGTGTCGTCGATGGAACAAAGTTCATCTCTCTCGCGATGAACATCGAAGATGGAACAGACATGTGGGACATGGTCAAATACTGGAAGCACCCATCGAAGTCTACACCAATCGGCACAGTCATGACAATACCTGCAACAGGCTCAGAATGGAACAACGGTGCTGTCATCTCTCGCAGGTCGACGAAAGAGAAACTTCCTCTCATCAACAACTTGTTATACCCATCTTTCTCAATCCTCGATCCTAAGTACACGATGACACTCCCGAAGAGACAACTCAGGAATGGTCTCTACGACGCGATGACACACTGCATCGACTTAGTCATAACACCGCACGTCCTCCCAATGCGGGACAACTTCATGTACTGCGTCATGAAGGAGCTCGTCGACATCAGTGGAGATGTCATGAGTGACGACAAGTCAACAATCGAAGTCAGAGGAAGACTCGTCCAAGCATGCAGTTTCGCTCTCAACTACGTTCTCCAACTCGGAAAAGTCACATGCTGCGGAATCCACGGCATCGCACACATGCTCACAGCTAAGTGGGGAATCGATCATGCTTCAACACTCTCAATCATCACTCCTTTCTTCTTAGAGTAATTCATTGAGCCAAGAAAGTATGAAATGGCACGGGCAGCAGAATTCGTCTTTGGTGTTAAAGATGGAGATAATTATACTAAAGCTAGAGCGTTCATTAGACATTTACGAGAATGGATTGTTACCATTGGACAATTCACTAAAGTCACAGATCAAGAAGGAGTTGTTCTTCAGCCTGGAGATGTCGACAAAGTAACAAATATGGTTATGGATTCATTCAATGGCAAGAACTTTGGATATAAGAATTCGATCAAACGCGAGAATGTTCATCATATTCTTGAACGTGCATTCAATCAATAAAATATTATTCTTTCCAAGTTTATTTTATAATTATTTTTATAAATTTGTTATGAAGATAAAAACTTATAAACAACTTATGTTGTTAGTTAATAAGTTTATAATGAAGATAGATTATAACAATGACACAGACATTGCTGACTTAACTCAATATTTTTTATTATATGATTTGAAATGCTATTTCAATAGACTTATCTATCAGGTGAATGAAATAAAGCGGTTATTTCAATAATTATTCAAAATTGAATGTGAATTCACATATTCATCAAACAATTAAAACTGGTCATGTGAATTCATATTAGCGAAAAACATAATATTGGTACCGCAAATAATGATATATACAGCGATCTATGTGCAAACAATTTTGACATCCGATTCAAAAATTGAGAAGGATCGAAATTTATAATAAAAAAATTCCCATCATATGTCGGAAATTGAATTTCATTCAATTTCCGACATATGATGAAATACTTGAAGAATTTTCAATTTTTAGCCTCTTTTAAATTGAATGTAATTCAATTTTTGAGGCGGCTCATTGAAAATCCGTCAAGTATTGAATCATAAATTTTTCATTTTTAATGTCTGTTTACAGAAGATTCTCACAGAAGGAAGATGCAACATTACTCCGTCTGGTTAAGAAGTTTGGTGACCATGATTGGAAACGAATTGCAGAGAAGATGCACCGAACACCAAGGCAATGTAAAGATAGGTATAATAATTTTATATCACCTGACTTAAATAGATCTGCTTGGACAAAAGAGGATGATGACAAGATTTTAACACTTGTAAATCAATATTCAAAAAATGGAGGCTTATATCAACATTTTTTGATAGAAGGAGTGAAGTTCAAATCAAAAATAGATACAATCAGCTTGCTAATAAAGAAAATAATAATAAATCAGAAGATTTTACCGAATTTGTACTAGAATCAAATAAAGAATATCAATTATTCAATTTTAATGACAATGATCTTGATCTTTTGAGCGTGTTTGATATATTTTAGAGTAAAAAATCGGTTTCAATCAATCATTATTTCATAATATTATAAGTGTTAATTTAAATTGCTTTCATCTAAGTTTTGGTTCTTTACTTATAGAATCTGATGAAAATATTGCAAATAATTATGTTATAACATCAAATTTTATATAGACTACGTATATTAAAACAAATTATGAAACAACATGAATTCATCTTTGATGATGTTGATGCTAGAGAATAAATCGTTTTGGGCATTTAAAGAAATAGCAATGAACATCATTTCACTTGAAACAGAACTAAACATATCTAAATTACTATTCATATTGATTAGAAATGTTCTTATTGATAAAATGGATGTAAATATCGAATAAATACCTTCTTTCAACAGATATATTATAGAAATAATTGACAAAGATGAAAATGATCTAAGAAGAACATTGTGATTGTCCCTCTTTTAACAATATGATAATAGCCAATGCTAAAGAAATGATAATTGGAAAAAGAGCGAAATATATAGAAGAAGAGCCTTATTTCAACCAATATAATGTATTTTTAACTTGTGCTAGAAATGAGTTTCATTTCATTCTATATATTACTATAAAATACTTCCTTCAAGGCTTTCATTTCATCTACCCGCGGAAATTTCAGTAGATTTCCCTGGCAAGTAATTTATAATAATTCTTGTGATAGTATTTTAAAACATTGGATGCTCGACATTCCTTTTTTATTTTCATGAGCTTATAAGATCAAGAATGATTGGCGTTTCAAGTTAAAATAGAAGCTTTGCAGGAAAAAAAATCTTTTTTATTCATAAGAAATATACAATTATTTAGAAATGGATATATGGTTTTGCAGCCAGAGCTTTCTTTTGTGTGCTCTGATAGTCCTTTACGAGATCTAATGCTTCATCAAGTAACATGTTTGGCGCAACATTTTCCATGCTGAAATGGATTGAGTTGACCAATAATTGTGCCTCTAAATCACTCAACAAACTTGTTGAATGTCTTACAGTTCCATGGAATATTTGTTCATTCTTCTTTTCAACAGAGTATCCGAAGTAAGAATAGAAACCAGCCAAGCCGTCATCATTAAGACCAAATGTAGTTAGTATACAAGTCTTGGGTACGGAGGCACTGCGCGCCTCCTTACCCAATACTTGTGAATTTGACACTTTACAAAACCGCTAACGTATATTTTACAACACAAACACAAACACTAACTTAACCTTAAATATTTACAAAGCCGCCAACCACTTCACTAACGAACTCACTAATGTAAAAATAAACGTTCTCACTATCGTTCTCACTAACGACTTCACTAATGTTCTCATAAATTTTCCTCAATATCTTCATCATCAGTGTTAACCCTATTGTAGTCATACTTGAAGACATAAACTTTCTCTAACTTCTTAACGTACAATTTACATAACTTACCTTCGTCATCGTATGGTTTAATGATATAACTATTTCTATCTTTATACACAGTCAATGAAAAGTCAACTGGTCTCGGATGTATTTGAAAGAACATGTTATGCTCAGGAAGGAAGAATAAATGTTTAAATGTATGTTTGTTATACTGTGGAATTCGAATGAGTTGCTTTTGTTCTGTCATTTACATCCAAATAAAAATTTTCAGTAAAATAAAAAATAAACTTAAAAATTAATGATATCACCACCCTCACACGTATGAAAACATAGCACAAAAATAGATTTAGGTGAAGTGGTGAGATCTCACCTCTTTTTTCACCCACTTGAATTCATTGCTTTATAACTCTCTTCCTTTCTCCAACTCTTCTAACTTCTTCTTAAGTTCAGCAATGTTGTCCTCATGAAGTTTAATCTTTCTCAAAATTCCTTCTTTATCTAATGGTTGCTTTATCTTTCTAAACTGAACTCTACCATCCTTCATAGTATGAATGTAAAAACCTTCTGGAATAGTTCCTGATTTAATGTATTCTACCAAAAACTTTTGTTTCATTGCTTCAGTGATTTTATTTGTCATTTCAATCAAATAAAAATTTTAATATTAAATAAAAATAACGTTATTTTTCAGTAAGGAAACGCAGGAGTTTTACGATTTATTTGAGGAGTAGGTTCTGGTTTAAATGTTGGAGTCGGTTTAGGAGTTGACTTTTGAACAGGAGTTTGTAATTCCATAGGTTCAGGAGTCATTGAAGGTTTTGCTTGTGAAGGTGTTGGAGTTTGTTTAACTTCAGCTACTTCAGTATTATTTACAACATTTGCTTTATTTCTTTTCAACATCATAACTGCTCCTGCTGTAGCTAGCAAACCTAGTGGGAGACCATATTTATATAAGGACTTGACCAAATGCTATTTTTGACAGGAGCTGGTGGAACACCTAACCTTGGTGAGACTGCTCTTTGCCATTGTGCAGCTCGTAAGAAATATTCAATAGGTGCTCCATAATCGTTTGGTAAAGTTTGTTTCACAGATGGTGAAAGGTCACGAGAGCTTGATGAAGAACTCATTTATAAGCTTTAAAAATAAACGTTCATCCTTTATTCCTCACTGTCGTCCGTAGCTAAGTTATAGTCATCTAATCTTATTATGGGATTCCATTAGCACGCACCTGAATGGCAAAGCAACAATCCCTCATAAATCCAATAAGTGGCTTTGGTACATTTTCAGTTGCTAGTTCAATAGGTCCTTTAACAGACAATTTGTATGTTATTGGAGCAGTAGATGTTTGACCTTGCTGGAAGCAAAAGTCCACTTCTGTTGGAAAACCACATAAGAAATGTGTGTTGTCATAGCTATCCCATTTATGTTCCACACTACCATCATCCACCAATGACCTCATAACATCTTCATTAAATCCTATCATATCATTGTTTGTATTGCAAGCGTTCGCAACCATTTCATAAAATACAGGTCCATATGATTTTTCAGGTTCTGCAGGCATATTTCCATAAGCTCCCATGGAAAGCTGAAGATATTTAAACTTAGGGTTCTCAAAATTAACATAATAGTTGTCTTTCTTTCTAAATAGTGCCCAAATACTTTTAACATTAATAGGCGTATAAGCTGCTGTAAATGTTGCACTTGAACTATCTGTATTCTTTGAGAATGAACCGTCCATAGGAATCCAATCCATAACTTTAACAGGAAAACATAAAGCCTCGTTTGTATAATGTTCTACAAGTTCTGTATAAATGTTAGGGTCTAAAGAGAATGACTTTGGATGAATGAAACATTCATTAAAATCCATCTTTGTTCGAAATAGTTGCTGGGTTACAGTTGTAATAGTAACTGTTCCACTAGCTTCTACTGCCTTCGTTATCATAGTGAATGGTTCATTCCATGGAACAAATTTATTTGTCGGTGGATTTGAATCTGAAGCAAATGCAACTTTAAGAGTTGGATTGAAAGCAATGATATCATTTACAGATATAGATGTGCATTGTAAGGCGTCGCTACTGAACTTTACTTTAAGCTGAATGTTTCCTGCAAAAGCTGGAATAAATCGAATAGCTTCTAATGGAAGGAATCTTCTAACAGGAATTCTTAAACGAAGCTTAAAATCAAATGATTTTCCTGCTGTAATTGGACCACTAACAATTTGTCCTGTTCTGCATGTTCCCGAATGACTCCATACATCTTCATGTCGAGTCTTTGAGAAAACATCTACTTTCTTTATTTGTTCGGTAGTTTGTGAGTTTGAAGTTATATATGCTTCTTCTCTTGCGTTGTCTTGAGAATATACGATACGACCATTTGCAAGGATTTGATATCCAGCAACTGCATAGAAAGCGTCATCGAAACCAATCCAAAATCCTGGTGGGTTTGTTTTATTGGAACCTGAACCAATTTCTTTATCTACAATAAATTGACCTTCCATTTTATACGTAATGAATGTATTGTAAAGGTCCAACATATTTTCACCAGGAGGTGAGAGATTGAATGTTACCCATGTGTTATCTTTAGCAGTTCCAGGTTGTGATGGAATCTTTGCGTCAGAATATTTTCTATTAGTGTCACCAATTTGAACTGCATTGTCTATGATATCGAAATATGAGCGAATCTGATGAATATGCTCTGCTGGAGTAAATTCGTTTAGCTGTTCGTTCTGCATGTATTTACTTCAGATAAAAATATCTATTTACTTCATTATTCTCACTCTTCTTCTTGGCATTCGTGGTGGAAGTTGTTTCTTGACATTTTCAATGAACTGTACATTCTCTTTTGTCTCAACTTCTTTCACTGGTGGGTCAGGGTTCTTTGACTCGGTTTGTTTTTCAATGAAATTCACGAACTTTGCAATAAGCTCTTGGTTCGTTATTGAAAGTACATCTGGCTTCTTTTCTTCTGGTTCTATTGGCTCAGTTTGAACAGAAGGTTTTATATGGGCTTCGTGGACTTCACCCTTGCCATACACCTTAATGTTGTCGCTTTCTGCATTCGCTAATGGAACCTTTCTTTTTCTTACGTATATTTTACCATCTTTACTCTGACTTACGTAATAGAAAGGATGTTGTATTCCTCTTGCGTCATTTAATATAATAGACTCTCGCTCTGATTTTGACAAGCTCATTTTACATCGGTTAAAGTTTTAATTTTGTTTTTTATCTGCAGTCAAATGACTCAGACAAGCCCTACGGACAAGACCCAAGGGGTCATAGATGTTGAAGCATTGAAGAAAGAAATTCGTGAGCAAATTTTATCCGAACTGAAGGAACAAAAACAAGAACAAAAGCCAGAGAGACCAAAGAGAAAACTTAGTGAAAAACAACTTGCTGCATTAGCTGCTGGAAGACAAAAGAACCCACGTTTGCTGGCGAAGAAAGCTAGAGAAGAAGCTGAAAAGCTAAAGAAGAAGAAAGTAAATGGTTTATTTTTATCCGAATTAAATGTATAGACAAATACCTTTATCTGTTGCGTTCAGTAGTGAAAACCCTGACGTCAAAATAAAGGGGAACAGAGTAACGTTTAAGTTTCCAACAGACTGGATTGTGAACATAAATGAAGAGAAGTACATTGGCATAACATCTATGTATATAACACGTGCTTTCAGAAAGGTTGACTTTATACTTCAAGTCGAGATAGAAAATGACGAACAGTCTTTAAGCGCCCAAAACATTCACATATACAAATACTTTAAAGACGATACAACATTGCAATGTATGATTTCATTTAATGAGATGTTCGAGAAAAAGTTCAACATTGAAGTACAAACTTTACAGCCTTTACGTGAGTTTCTTGCACAACTGAAAGAAGAAGGTAGTCAGCCACAACTTATAGACTTTCATTATGAATTTAATGAAAATGATGGAACACATGACTGTCAATTTGTTGTATTCTCACCATTCAATGAAGTCGCTAAAAAGAAAAAAATCCATTACGTATAAGATTTCAAATCTCTGAACCAAGTGATGATTTCAAGAATGTTTTCAATTATGATGCAATGCTTCCGAGGAAAAATGAATTTTCAAAGATTGTAACACAGGCATTTGGGATAGAAAGCAAGCTATATTATATTCAAACTTAAGTAAGGGAGTTGAAAATGAGTTCATTGGTCATACAAGAACTTCACCACTTCCTAACCCTAAATACTATAAATTAACTGGCTTCAATCGTGAGTTTTGGATAGACATGTTCTCCACTCATGACCATAACTGCCCAGTGTTCTTACCTCCAGACCATAAGGACTGTCTCTACATTGAAGCACAACTCTTAAACTCTACCATCGCAGTATTGTAAATGACCATGGGCTTCGCTAGCTTATTTTTATCACGAATGACCTCATTGCTGACAAAAATAAATGACCTCAGAACTTCAACTTACGAATAAAGCTTGTTTTAGTCGTTATTGAGAAGTTAAACTTCTCTTCAAAGCAAGGTTGACATGACTTACATAAGTCAAATCCAATCTCTTGACCGTCATAAAGTGCTTTGTATAATTTCATTAAACTGAACTCAGAGTCTTTGTCATATGTTCCTTGCGGAACCATTAAACCTTTATCTTCATCATAGAAACACTGAACAGAGTCAGGAAACATTTCATTAGCGGTTAAAGCAATAACATCTTGCTTCACGCCTTTCATTCTGCAGTGAAATGCAAC